GAGTGAGTGAGTGAGTGAGTGAGTGAGTGAGTGAGTGAGTGAGTGAGTGTGTGAGTTAGTGAGTGATTAATTGAGTGAGTGAGTGAGTGAGTGTGAGTTAGTGAGTGATTAATTGAGTGAGTGAGTGTGTGATAGTGAGTGATTAATTGAGTGAGTGAGTGAGTGATTAATTGAGTGTGTGAGTGAGTGAGTGAGTGATTAATTGAATGAGTGAGTGAGTGAGTGATTAATTGAGTGAGTGAGTGAGTGAGTGATTAAGTGAGTGAGTGAGTGTGTGAGTGAGTGAGTGAGTGAGTGAGTGAGTGAGTGATTAATTGAGTGAGTGAGTGAGTGATTAATTGAGTGAGTGTGTGAGTGAGTGAGTGTGAGTTAGTGAGTGATTAATTGAGTGAGTGAGTGAGTGAGTGTGAGTTAGTGAGTGATTAATTGAGTGAGTGAGTGAGTGAGTGAGTGAGTGAGTGTGAGTTAGTGAGTGATTAATTGAGTGAGTGAGTGAGTGTGTGATAGTGAGTGATTAATTGAGTGAGTGAGTGAGTGAGTGATTAATTGAGTGAGTGAGTGAGTGAGTGAGTGATTAATTGAGTGAGTGAGTGAGTGAGTGAGTGAGTGATTAATTGAGTGAGTGTGTGAGTGAGTGAGTGATTAATTGAGTGAGTGAGTTAGTGATTAATTGAGTGAGTGAGTGTGTGAGTGAGTGAGTGATTAATTGAGTGAGTGTGTGAGTGAGTGAGTGAGTGATTAATTGAGTGAGTGAGTGATTAATTGAGTGAGTGAGTGATTAATTGAGTGAGTGAGTGATTAATTGAGTGAGTGAGTGAATAATTGAGTGAGTGAGTGAGTGAGTGAGTGTGAGTTAGTGTGAGTTAGTGAGTGTTTAATTGAGTGAATGAGTGAGTGTGTGTGTTAGTGAGTGATTAATTGAGTGAGTGAGTGAGTGATTAATTGAGTGAGTGTGTGTTAGTGAGTGATTAATTGAGTGAGTGAGTGAGTGTGTGAGTGAGTGAGTGTGTGTTAGTGAGTGATTAATTGAGTGAGTGAGTGAGTGTGTGTTAGTGAGTGATTAATTGAGTGAGTGAGTGAGTGAGTGAGTGTGAGTTAGTGAGTGATTGAGTGAGTGAGTGAGTGTGTGAGTGAGTGAGTGTTAGTGAGTGAGTGTTTGTTAGTGAGTGATTAATTGAATGAGTGTGTGAGTGATTAATTGAGTGTGTGAGTGAGTGATTAATTGAGTGAGTGAGTGTGTGTGTGTGTGTTTAAGTGAGTGAGTGTGTGTGTGTTAGTGAGTGATTAATTGAGTGAGTGAGTGAGTGAGTGAGTGATTAATTGAGTGAGTGAGTGAGTGATTAATTGAGTGAGTGTGTGAGTGAGTGAGTGAGTGTGTGAGTGAGTGAGTGATTAATTGAGTGAGTGAGTTAGTGATTAATTGAGTGAGTGAGTGTGTGAGTGAGTGAGTGATTAATTGAGTGAGTGTGTGAGTGAGTGAGTGAGTGATTAATTGAGTGAGTGAGTGATTAATTGAGTGAGTGAGTGAATAATTGAGTGAGTGAGTGAGTGAGTGAGTGAGTGAGTGTGAGTTAGTGTGAGTTAGTGAGTGTTTAATTGAGTGAATGAGTGAGTGTGTGTGTTAGTGAGTGATTAATTGAGTGAGTGAGTGATTAATTGAGTGAGTGTGTGTTAGTGAGTGATTAATTGAGTGAGTGAGTGAGTGTGTGAGTGTGAGTGAGTGAGTGTGTGTTAGTGAGTGATTAATTGAGTGAGTGAGTGAGTGAGTGAGTGTGTGTTAGTGAGTGATTAATTGAGTGAGTGAGTGAGTGAGTGAGTGAGTGAGTGAGTGTGAGTTAGTGAGTGATTGAGTGAGTGAGTGTGTGAGTGAGTGAGTGTTAGTGAGTGAGTGTTTGTTAGTGAGTGATTAATTGAATGAGTGTGTGAGTGATTAATTGAGTGTGTGAGTGAGTGATTAATTGAGTGTGTGTGTGTGTGTTTAAGTGAGTGAGTGTGTGTGTGTGTGTTAGTGAGTGATTAATTGAGTGAGTGAGTGAGTGAGTGTGTGAGTGAGTGTGTGAGTGAGTGAGTGAGTGTGTGAGTGAGTGATTAATTAAGTGAGTGTGAGTGAGTGAGTGTGTGAGTGAGTGATTAATTGAGTGAGTGTGTGAGTGAGTGAGTGTGTGAGTGATTAATTGAGTAAGTGAGTGAGTGTGTGTGAGTGAGTGATTAATTGAGTGAGTGAGTGTGTGAGTGATTAATTAATTGAGTGAGTGAGTGATTAATTGAGTGAGTGAGTGTTAGTGAGTGAGTGTGTGTGTGTGTGTGTGTTAGTGAGTGATTAATTGAGTGAGTGATTAATTGAGTGAGTTTGTGAGTGATTAATTGAGTGAGCGAGTGATTAATTGAGTGAGTGTTAGTGAGTGAGTGAGTGTGTGTGTGTGTGTGTGTGTGTGTGTGTGTGAGTGAGTGTGTGTATGTTAGTGAGTGATTAATTGAGCGAGTGTGTGAGTGAGTGAGTGAGTGAGTGTGTGTGTGTTAGTGAGTGATTAATTAAGTGAGTGATTAATTGAGTAAGTGAGTGAGTGTGTGTGAGTGAGTGATTAATTGAGTGAGTGTGTGAGTGATTAATTGAGTGAGTGAGTGATTAATTGAGTGAGTGTTAGTGAGTGTGTGTGTGTGTGTGTGTGTGTGAGTGAGTGAATGTGTGTGTGTTAGTGAGTGATTAATTGAGTGAGTGAGTGAGTGTGTGTTAGTGAGTGAGTGAGTGAGTGAGTGAGTGTGTTTGTGTGTGAGTGAGTGATTAATTGAGTGAGTGTGTGAGTGAGTGAGTGAGTGTGTGTTAGTGAGTGATTAATTGAGTGAGTGAGTGAGTGAGTGTGTGAGTGAGTGAGTGAGTGTGTGAGTGAGTGAGTGTGTGTGTGTTAGTGAGTGTTTAATTAAGTGAGTGTGTTAGTGAGTGATTAATTGAGTGAGTGAGTATGTGTTAGTGAGTGAATAATTGAGTGTGTGAGTGAGTGAGTGTGTGTTAGTGAGTGATTAATTGAGTGAGTGAGTGATTAATTGAGTGAGTGAGTGAGTGTGTGTTAGTGAGTGATTAATTGAGTGAGTGAGTGAGTGATTAATTGAGTGAGTGAGTGAGTGAGTGAGTGAGTGAGTGAGTGAGTGAGTGAGTGAGTGATTAATTGAGTGAGTGTGTGAGTGAGTGAGTGAGTGATTAATTGAGTGAGTGAGTGATTAATTGAGTGAGTGAGTGAATAATTGAGTGAGTGAGTGAGTGAGTGAGTGAGTGAGTGAATAATTGAGTGAGTGAGTGAGTGAGTGAGTGAGTGTGAGTTAGTGTGAGTTAGTTAGTGTTTAATTGAGTGAATGACGTGAGTGAGTGAGTGAGTGATTAATTGAGTGAGTGAGTGAGTGAGTGAGTGAGTGAGTGAGTGAGTGTGAGTTAGTGTGAGTTAGTTAGTGTTTAATTGAGTGAATGAGTGAGTGTGTGTTAGTGAGTGATTAATTGAGTGAGTGAGTGAGTGAGTGAGTGATTAATTGAGTGAGTGAGTGAGTGAGTGATTAATTGAGTGAGTGATTAATTGAGTGAGTGTGTGAGTGAGTAAGTGAGTAAGTGAGTAAGTGAGTGAGTGAGTGAGTGAGTGTGTGAGTGTGAGTGAGTGAGTGAGGGAGTGAGGGAGTGAGTGAGTGAGTGTGTGTTAGTGAGTGATTAATTGAGTGAGTGTGTGAGTGAGTGAGTGTGAGTTAGTGAGTGATTAATTGAGTGAGTGAGTGAGTGAGTTAGTGAGTGATTAATTGAGTGAGTGAGTGTGAGTTAGTGAGTGAGTGAGTGTGTGATAGTGAGTGATTAATTGAGTGAGTGAGTGAGTGAGTGAGTGATTAATTGAGTGTGTGAGTGAGTGAGTGATTAATTGAGTGAGTGATTAATTGAATGAGTGAGTGAGTGAGTGATTAATTGAGTGAGTGAGTGATTAATTGAGTGAGTGTGTGAGTGAGTGAGTGATTAATTGAGTGAGTGAGTGAGTGAGTGAGTGATTAATTGAGTGAGTGTGTGAGTTAGTGAGTGATTAATTGAGTGAGTGAGTGAGTGTGAGTGAGTGATTAATTGAGTGAGTGAGTGAGTGAGTGAGTGAGTGTGAGTTAGTGAGTGATTAATTGAGTGAGTGAGTGATTAATTGAGTGTGTGAGTGAGTGAGTGAGTGAGTGATTAATTGAGTGAGTGAGTGAGTGATTAATTGATGTGAGTGAGTGAGTGAGTGATTAATTGAGTGAGTGAGTGAGTGAGTGATTAATTGAGTGAGTGAGTGATTAATTGAGTGAGTGATTAATTGAGTGAGTGTGTGAGTGAGTGAGTGAGTGATTAATTGAGTGAGTGAGTGATTAATTGAGTGAGTGAGTGAATAATTGAGTGAGTGAGTGAGTGAGTGAGTGAGTGAGTGAATAATTGAGTGAGTGAGTGAGTGAGTGAGTGAGTGAGTGAGTGAGTGAGTGAGTGAGTGTGAGTTAGTGTGAGTTAGTGAGTGTTTAATTGAGTGAATGAGTGAGTGTGTGTTAGTGAGTGATTAATTGAGTGAGTGAGTGATTAATTGAGTGAGTGTGTGTTAGTGAGTGATTAATTGAGTGAGTGAGTGTGTGAGTGTGAGTGAGTGAGTGAGTGAGTGAGTGAGTGATTAATTGAGTGAGTGAGAGTGTGAGTGAGTGAGTGAGTGAGTGAGTGTGTGTTAGTGAGTGAGTGAGTGAGTGAGTGTGTGTTAGTGAGTGAGTGAGTGAGTGAGTGAGTGAGTGAGTGAGTGTGTGTTAGTGATTGAGAGTGTGAGTGAGTGAGTGAGTGTGTGTTAGTGAGTGATTAATTGAGTGAGTGAGTGAGTAAGTGAGTGAGTGAGTGTGAGTTAGTGAGTGTGAGTTAGTGAGTGAGTGTGTGAGTGTGTGAGTGAGTGTGAGTGAGTGAGTGTGTTAGGCCGTAATCATAATAATGTGTGTGGTGTTGTTTATGCGTGTGTGTGTGTGTGTGTGTGTAGACTGTCAGAGATGCAGGAGGAGCTTCTCTCCATGGCAGTGTCTAAAAGGAAGCTGGAGACTCAGAGGGAGGAGCTTGTGTCCCGCCTGCAGGGAATGATGCGCTCCCATTGGGCGGAGGCTTTGAGGCTGTTGACCAATCAGGAGCAGGTACAGCATTCATTATAGTCGTCATAATCCAGTCGATCATTATAATGAGTGTGTGTGTGTGAGGCCGTAATGATAATAGTGTGTGTGTGTGTGTGTGTAGATGGAGAGTGTCCTGTCGCCCGTCCATCAGTGGGAAACGCCCACATCTTCCTCTTCTCCTCCTCAGAGTGACACACACGTGTCAGGTGATCAGTCTCTCTTTCATGGCCAAATATATGTGGAAAAAGTTTGATCAAGTGTTGATAGTTTAGTTTTGGTAACGTGACAAAGTGAAAGTGTGTGTGATGTGCTGAAGCAGCTCCCCAGGCCGTGGTTCTGCGTCTGTCCCGAGAGAAGGAGCGAGAGACCAGTGTGATGAACTGCAGCTCTGCTTTCTCTCCGCTGGAGCCTCAGCTGGAGCACAGCCATCTCACCGGTACACACACACTCAGGGCTCAGATATACGACTAACACCAATATCACTCATGTTAGATATATGAAATCATTTAAAGAATAACCTATACAAGGGCATTTTTTATTTCTTTAATTTCCCATCCATCCACTGTGTGTGTGTGTGTGTGTGTGTGTGTGTGTGTGTGTGTGTGTGTGTGTGTGTGTGTTGTAGGTCTCAGTGACTGCAGTGCATTGTGGTTCAAGCCTGTGTTCACAGAGGAAGAGACAAGAGAAACTCAAACCAACCTGAACCTGAAGCTGAGCCACGCCCCCACAGACATCCGGACCAATCACAGCTCCTGCGCAGACAGTGGGCAGGACAGGGGTGGGGCTTCTGGGCGGATGTACTGTAGCGATGCAGAGAAGGCAACGCCCATCAGAGATCAAGCTCCACCCAGTAGATGTGAAGCCCCGCCCAGTAGATACAAAGCTCCGCCCATAATAGACAAAGCCCCGCCTGTCAGATATATAGATCCACCCATCAGAGAGGAAGCCCCGCCCATCAGACATGTAGCCCCACCCATCCGAGAGGAAGCCCCACCCATCAGACATGTAGCTCCACCCATCATAGATGAAGCCCCGCCCAACAGGACTAGAGTTTCCTCTCGTAATGAAGACCGACAGAGTGAGCTGCAGTATTACGTGTCAAAGGTACAACACAAACACACACACACAGGTACAACACACACTCTCACAAACATGCTCACGTATACGCTAACACACACACTTTCTCACTCACTCACACACGTGGCTCTACACACACACTCTCTCACACACACACACACGCTCTCTCACACACACTCTTCCTGTCTGTGTTGTCAGCTGCTGGAGCGTTCCCCCGGCGACCCCCTGGACGAGCCAATCAGAGAGCAGCGCCGGGCCGAATCAGCTGACGAGCAGAAACCAGACGAGCTCGACAAACCAGAGGTGCAGAGATTCACTGAGGGTTACAGATGTGTGTTTATCTGATGAGCTGCTCAAACAGGAGTGAGGGATCATGGGAGTGGAGTGAGGAGCGTAGCACACACACACACAAACACACCTGAAGGGGTTTATTCTGAGATAACACACACACACCTGAAGGGGTTTATTCTGAGATAACACACACACACCTGAAGGGGTTTATTCTGAGATCACACACACACACACACACACCTGAAGGGGTTTATTCTGAGATAACACACACACACACCTGAAGGGGTTTATTCTGAGATAACACACACACACCTGAAGGGGTTTATTCTGAGATCACACACACACACACACACACCTGAAGGGGTTTATTCTGAGATAACACACACACACCTGAAGGGGTTTATTCTGAGATCACACACACACACACACACACACACACACACACACACATACACACACACCTGAAGGGGTTTATTCTGAGATCACACACACACACACACACACACACACACACACACACACACACACACACACACACACACACACACACACCTGAAGGGGTTTATTCTGAGATCACACACACACACACACACACACACACACACACACCTAAAGGGGTTTATTTTGAGATAACACACACACACACACACACACACACACACACACCTGAAGGGGTTTATTCTGAGATCACACACACACACACACACAGACACACACACACACACACACACCTGAAGGGGTTTATTCTGAGATCACACACACACACACACACACCTGAAGGGGTTTATTCTGAGATCACACACACACACACACACACACACACACACCTGAAGGGGTTTATTCTGAGATCACACACACACACACACACACACCTGAAGGGGTTTATTCTGAGATCACACACACACACACACACACACCTGAAGGGGTTTATTCTGAGATCACACACACACACACACACACACACACACACACCTGAAGGGGTTTATTCTGAGATCACACACACACACACACACACACACACACACACACACACACACACACACCTAAAGGGGTTTATTCTGAGATCACACACACACACACACACACACCTGAAGGGGTTTATTCTGAGATAACACACACACACACACACACACACACACACACACCTGAAGGGGTTTATTCTGAGATCACACACACACACACACACACACACCTGAAGGGGTTTATTCTGAGATCACACACACACACACCTGAAGGGGTTTATTCTGAGATCACACACACACACACACACACACACCTGAAGGGGTTTATTCTGAGATCACACACACACACACACACACACACACACCTGAAGGGGTTTATTCTGAGATCACACACACACACACACACACACACACCTGAAGGGGTTTATTCTGAGATCACACACACACACACACACCTGAAGGGGTTTATTCTGAGATCACACACACACACACACACACACACACACACCTGAAGGGGTTTATTCTGAGATCACACACACACACACACACCTGAAGGGGTTTATTCTGAGATCACACACACACACACACACACACACACCTGAAGGGGTTTACTCTGAGATCACACACACACACACCTGAAGGGGTTTATTCTGAGATCACACACACACACACACACACACACCTGAAGGGGTTTATTCTGAGATCACACACACACACACACACCTGAAGGGGTTTATTCTGAGATCACACACACACACACACACCTGAAGGGGTTTATTCTGAGATCACACACACACACACACACACACACACACACCTGAAGGGGTTTATTCTGAGATCACACACACACACACACACACACACACCTGAAGGGGTTTATTCTGAGATCACACACACACACACACACACACACACACCTGAAGGGGTTTATTCTGAGATCACACACACACACACACACACACACACACCTGAAGGGGTTTATTCTGAGATCACACACACACACACACACACACACACCTGAAGGGGTTTATTCTGAGATCACACACACACACACACCTGAAGGGGTTTATTCTGAGATCACACACACACACACACACACACACACACCTGAAGGGGTTTATTCTGAGATCACACACACACACACACACCTGAAGGGGTTTATTCTGAGATCACACACACACACACACACACACACACACCTGAAGGGGTTTATTCTGAGATCACACACACACACACACACACCTGAAGGGGTTTATTCTGAGATCACACACACACACACACACACACACACACACACCTGAAGGGGTTTATTCTGAGATCACACACACACACACACACACCTGAAGGGGTTTACTCTGAGATAACACGCACGCACACACACACACACACACACACACACACACACACCTGAAGGGGTTTACTCTGAGATAACACGCACGCACACACACACACACACACACACACACACACACACACACACACACACACACACACACACACACACACACACACACACACACACCTGAAGGGGTTTACTCTGAGATAACAACCGGCTGGATGAACGTTATCCCGTTTATTACAGGGACTCTTGCCACATAAATACATAATTAGAAATATGTTAATCTCAGAGCTTTAATCTCAGTGTTTAATCGCAGAGCTGCGGAGAGAGCCGTTTCAGCGGCGAGATCAAAGACGGACATGTCAGAGATACGCTATACAGTCATAACACTAATTACAGCATTTCAAAACATTAATAATTATGGGGCTCAGAGATATTGATTTCAGATTAAACTGTTTTAAAATCGTTCCTGTTTGTATCTTATAATCCAACAGTGAACAAAACAATAGCCACAAAATGGCCGCCGCTGCGTTTGTGTGAAACGAGAGAGAGCGAGTCCACGATACTGGATAATTAGCAAAATTAAATAACTGTACACAAAATATTGATTCGACTGAGAACCGGTTCTAGCGAGTGTGTAGCGCTGATGTCGTCAGTGACCCGGATGAGTGTGTGTTTCTGTGTTCTGTTGTTAACACACCTCCGGGTGGAGCGATTGACCAATCAGAATCAAGCATTCCACAGAGCCATGTGATAATACACCAATAAAACACACACTCCGTTTCACTCCGCAATAAAAGCTCTATGGTTTAACCTTTGAAAATGAAATTAAGACATCCATTAATATTAGTATTGTTTTTTTTTTACTATTAAATATTACAAATAAATTATTATTTTTGATTAAATAGATCATATTACTGTAGTTATATATTTAATTGTTTTATTTTTATAATTTATTGACCTCATCAGTCACATGATGTTTGCGGCTCGGCTGATTGGCTCAGAGCATCCTGTGGATCCGAGCTGATCAGTGTGTGTGTGTGTGTGTGTGTGTGTGTGTGTGTGTGTGTGTGTGTGTGTGTGTGTGTGTGTGTGTGTGTGTGTGTGTGTGTGTGTGTTTCAGGCGCGCGCCTCGTCTCGTCCCGCTCAGAGCCGAAGATCTTCCGGCCGCAGAGGAGGATCTCACAGAGTCTGGAGATAATCTTCAACATTTTACTCATTTATTCATTTATTTATGTGCTTTTTGATATTTCAAATAAAAACTCATCATTCTTAAAGCACTTTGTTTTTTCATTTCAAATTTGTGTGTGTGTGTGCGTGCGTGAGTGAGTGAGTGTGTGTGTGTGTGTGTGCGTGAGTGAGTGTGTGTGTGTGTGTGTGTGTGTGTGTGTGTGTGTGTGTGTGTGTGTGTGTGTGTGCGTGTGTCTCAGTTTCCCGTGAGATTCAGCATTTTATCCAATGCATTTGAAGGGCTTTTTATGATGAATATGAATATGCTCTTCATCCTGACACCTCCGAATCTCAAGCATTAATCTGAGGCAATAACATACACACTTTATTTCATTCTAATTAATAAGAAATATTTTATTTCTTTGAGATTTAGTGTTACAACCTGATTCAGGAAATGCAAAACAACCATCTGATCATATAAACCATCGTATGCAATACAAAAATAACTTAATATAATAAAATAATAAAAATAATCTTGTATATAAATAAGTGGTATAAAAGTGTGTGATCACAGGTGTGTGTGTGTGATCACAGGTCTCTGCAGTTCCTCTGAGTGTGTGTGTGTCTGTGTGTGTGTGATCACGGGTCCAGCAGGAGGCGCTGTAGAGTGTGTGTGTGTGTGTGATCAGGGGTCCAGCAGGAGGCGCTGTAGAGTGTGTGTGTGTGTGATCAGGGGTCCAGCAGGAGGCGCTGTAGAGTGTGTGTGTGTGTGTGATCAGGGGTCCAGCAGGAGGCGCTGTAGAGTGTGTGTGTGTGTGTGTGATCAGGGGTCCAGCAGGAGGCGCTGTAGAGTGTGTGTGTGTGTGTGATCACGGGTCCAGCAGGAGGCGCTGTAGAGTGTGTGTGTGTGTGTGATCAGGGGTCCAGCAGGAGGCGCTGTAGAGTGTGTGTGTGTGTGTGATCAGGGGTCCAGCAGGAGGCGCTGTAGAGTGTGTGTGTGTGTGTGTGATCAGGGGTCCAGCAGGAGGCGCTGTAGAGTGTGTGTGTGTGTGTGTGATCAGGGGTCCAGCAGGAGGCGCTGTAGAGTGTGTGTGTGTGTGTGATCAGGGGTCCAGCAGGAGGCGCTGTAGAGTGTGTGTGTGTGTGTGTGATCAGGGGTCCAGCAGGAGGCGCTGTAGAGTGTGTGTGTGTGTGTGATCAGGGGTCCAGCAGGAGGCGCTGTAGAGTGTGTGTGTGTGTGTGATCAGGGGTCCAGCAGGAGGCGCTGTAGAGTGTGTGTGTGTGTGTGTGATCACGGGTCCAGCAGGAGGCGCTGTAGAGTGTGTGTGTGTGTGTGTGATCAGGGGTCCAGCAGGAGGCGCTGTAGAGTGTGTGTGTGTGTGTGATCACGGGTCCAGCAGGAGGCGCTGTAGAGTGTGTGTGTGTGTGTGTGTGTGATCAGGGGTCCAGCAGGAGGCGCTGTAGAGTGTGTGTGTGTGTGTGTGATCAGGGGTCCAGCAGGAGGCGCTGTAGAGTGTGTGTGTGTGTGTGTGTGATCAGGGGTCCAGCAGGAGGCGCTGTAGAGTGTGTGTGTGTGATCAGGGGTCCAGCAGGAGGCGCTGTAGAGTGTGTGTGTGTGTGTGTGTGATCAGGGGTCCAGCAGGAGGCGCTGTAGAGTGTGTGTGTGTGTGTGTGTGATCAGGGGTCCAGCAGGAGGCGCTGTAGAGTGTGTGTGTGTGTGTGATCACGGGTCCAGCAGGAGGCGCTGTAGAGTGTGTGTGTGTGTGTGTGTGTGTGATCAGGGGTCCAGCAGGAGGCGCTGTAGAGTGTGTGTGTGTGTGTGTGATCAGGGGTCCAGCAGGAGGCGCTGTAGAGTGTGTGTGTGTGTGTGTGATCACGGGTCCAGCAGGAGGCGCTGTAGAGTGTGTGTGTGTGTGTGTGTGTGATCAGGGGTCCAGCAGGAGGCGCTGTAGAGTGTGTGTGTGTGTGTGTGATCAGGGGTCCAGCAGGAGGCGCTGTAGAGTGTGTGTGTGTGTGTGTGTGATCAGGGGTCCAGCAGGAGGCGCTGTAGAGTGTGTGTGTGTGTGTGATCAGGGGTCCAGCAGGAGGCGCTGTAGAGTGTGTGTGTGTGTGTGATCACGGGTCCAGCAGGAGGCGCTGTAGACTGTGTGTGTGTGTGTGATCACGGGTCCAGCAGGAGGCGCTGTAGAGTGTGTGTGTGTGTGTGTGATCAGGGGTCCAGCAGGAGGCGCTGTAGAGTGTGTGTGTGTGTGTGTGATCAGGGGTCCAGCAGGAGGCGCTGTAGAGTGTGTGTGTGTGTGTGTGTGTGTGATCAGGGGTCCAGCAGGAGGCGCTGTAGAGTGTGTGTGTGTGTGTGTGTGATCACGGGTCCAGCAGGAGGCGCTGTAGAGTGTGTGTGTGTGTGTGATCAGGGGTCCAGCAGGAGGCGCTGTAGAGTGTGTGTGTGTGTGTGATCAGGGGTCCAGCAGGAGGCGCTGTAGAGTGTGTGTGTGTGTGTGTGTGATCAGGGGTCCAGCAGGAGGCGCTGTAGACTGTGTGTGTGTGTGTGATCACGGGTCCAGCAGGAGGCGCTGTAGAGTGTGTGTGTGTGTGTGTGTGTGATCAGGGGTCCAGCAGGAGGCGCTGTAGAGTGTGTGTGTGTGTGTGTGATCAGGGGTCCAGCAGGAGGCGCTGTAGAGTGTGTGTGTGTGTGTGTGTGTGATCAGGGGTCCAGCAGGAGGCGCTGTAGAGTGTGTGTGTGTGTGTGTGTGATCACGGGTCCAGCAGGAGGCGCTGTAGAGTGTGTGTGTGTGTGTGATCAGGGGTCCAGCAGGAGGCGCTGTAGAGTGTGTGTGTGTGTGTGATCAGGGGTCCAGCAGGAGGCGCTGTAGAGTGTGTGTGTGTGTGTGATCAGGGGTCCAGCAGGAGGCGCTGTAGAGTGTGTGTGTGTGTGTGTGTGTGTGTGATCAGGGGTCCAGCAGGAGGTGCTGTAGAGTGTGTGTGTGTGTGTGTGTGATCAGGGGTCCAGCAGGAGGCGCTGTAGAGTGTGTGTGTGTGTGTGTGATCACGGGTCCAGCAGGAGGCGCTGTAGAGTGTGTGTGTGTGTGTGTGTGTGTGATCACGGGTCCAGCAGGAGGCGCTGTAGAGTGTGTGTGTGTGTGTGTGTGTGTGATCACGGGTCCAGCAGGAGGCGCTGTAGAGTGTGTGTGTGTGTGTGTGTGTGATCACGGGTCCAGCAGGAGGCGCTGTAGAGTGTGTGTGTGTGTGTGTGTGTGTGATCACGGGTCCAGCAGGAGGCGCTGTAGAGTGTGTGTGTGTGTGTGTGTGTGTGTGATCACGGGTCCAGCAGGAGGCGCTGTAGAGTGTGTGTGTGTGTGTGTGTGTGATCAGGGGTCCAGCAGGAGGCGCTGTAGAGTGTGTGTGTGTGTGTGTGTGATCAGGGGTCCAGCAGGAGGCGCTGTAGAGAGTGTGTGTGTGTGTGTGTGTGTGTGATCAGGGGTCCAGCAGGAGGCGCTGTAGAGTGTGTGTGTGTGTGTGTGTGATCAGGGGTCCAGCAGGAGGCGCTGTAGAGTGTGTGTGTGTGTGTGTGTGATCAGGGGTCCAGCAGGAGGCGCTGTAGAGAGTGTGTGTGTGTGTGTGTGTGTGTGATCAGGGGTCCAGCAGGAGGCGCTGTAGAGTGTGTGTGTGTGTGTGTGTGTGTGTGTGTGTGTGTGTGATCAGGGGTCCAGCAGGAGGCGCTGTAGAGTGTGTGTGTGTGTGTGTGTGTGTGTGTGTGTGTGTGTGTGTGTGATCAGGGGTCCAGCAGGAGGCGCTGTAGAGTGTGTGTGTGTGTGTGTGTGTGTGTGTGTGTGTGATCAGGGGTCCAGCAGGAGGCGCTGTAGAGAGTGTGTGTGTGTGTGTGTGTGTGTGTGATCAGGGGTCCAGCAGGAGGCGCTGTAGAGAGTGTGTGTGTGTGTGTGTGTGTGTGTGTGTGTGTGTGTGTGTGTGTGTGTGTGTGTGTGTGATCAGGGGTCCAGCAGGAGGCGCTGTAGAGTGTGTGTGTGTGTGTGTGTGTGTGTGATCAGGGGTCCAGCAGGAGGCGCTGTAGAGAGTGTGTGTGTGTGTGTGTGTGTGTGTGTGTGTGATCAGGGGTCCAGCAGGAGGCGCTGTAGGGAGTGTGTGTGTGTGTGTGTGTGTGTGTGTGTGTGTGTGTGTGATCAGGGGTCCAGCAGGAGGCGCTGTAGAGCCGGTGGGAGAGTCCGGCTCCGGGGCCCGTCTGACCCCAGGGCCCGGCGCACAGATAACCGACTCAGAGCCTGTAGAGCCGGAGCGTCTCCTGAGGGACACATCAGCCGTTAGAGTTCTGACTGAGCCAACGTTAGACAATCACTAATAAAAGTAATGCATTACAATATTGCGTTACTCTCAAAAAAAGTAACTAATTGCATTTAGTTACTTTTTGTGAAAAGTAATGCGTTACATTACTTCTGCGTAACCTTTCCTCACCTGGGCTGATTGCATTTCACTGTTTTTATTCATTTTGAGGAATACTGAATGTTTTCGTGCAAGTGAGACGAGTAAACTAGAACTAAAATAACCATCAGGTTTACACACACACTCACACACACATGCCTCTGCACTTTGATTTCTCTCAACATGAGCACAGGAGAGCACACTACTAAATGAACACTATTTCATACTGATGTGATGATGTCACACTCACGTGTCGTGCCACACAGGTAGCGTATGCAGATTTGAGCTCCTCCCCACACGCAGCTCACGGCAGGGAATAGCTCCGCCCCTTTGGGGAGGTCCCTGAAGGCCACGCCCAGATAGCAGTTGTCCACCACGTATCCCAGCGTCCCCGCGTCTGCGTCCAGAACCACTAACACACGATCCGGAACGCTTGGGTCATCCGAGGCTCCGCCCCCAGGGTACCGCCTCCTTTTCTTCCCGTCATGCCAAAGCTGATTGGTCGAGAGGTCCCAGCCCCAGGAACACGAGTCTCCGCCTATTAGCGCTTTGTAGCCTGAGGCCTGCAGGGGGCATGTCTGTGTGGACACGCCCAGGAGGGCGTGGCTTCCTCTCTGTAGCTCCTCCCACCGAACCTCCCATATGTGAAGCCCCGCCTCTACGCCGACGGCTCCACGAACCGCATCACTGCTCTGCTCCACACGGGCTCGACACACACTCCCGCCCGACACACACACCTGCAGGTTAGGCGACAGGTGCGTCCGGCTCCACTGCGATCGAGGGTCGCCGGGGGCGACGGGGGGCGTGTCCAGAAGCACCGCGAGCCGAATGGGCGGGGCTTCAGAGAACGGACTGAACGCGGATGAGGATCTGTGGTGTTTTTTAAGATGGCTGTCCCTCAGCCAGCAACTCAGTGTAAGACCCATCCAATCAGATCACAGCACTCGCAGAACTAGATCAACTTCCTCCAATCAGATCACAGCACTCGCAGAACTAGATCAACTTCCTCCAATCAGATCACAGCACTCGCAGAACTAGACCAACTTCCTCCAATCAGATCACAGCACTCGCAGAACTAGACCAACTTCCTGTTCACAGACACAAAACTACACTCAAGCCACTATAATACAACATTCATCAAACTACACTATATGATTAAACTAATCATTTGTTAAAAAACAAGTATTCATTACTTCAATGAGCCTATTGTTTCTGCATTAAATTATTACATTGTTTGGATTTAATACCTTTTACATTAACTGTGATTTTGTATGTATCAGAAAGTGACTTAGTCAATTATTTAAGTAACCTACTATAATATTGTGTAACAATATTTTATTGGTCAAACATTATGAACAGTACCATTTAAACAGTCATAATTACTGTTTCAAACAACATGAGCACTATTTTAACACACATACAGAATTATTAAACCTCCAAGTACAGTTACAGTAATAACCTCTTTAATTGTTCATCTTTTGCTCCAGAAGGAAGAACTGAGGGTTATTTTGAACGGTAATTGTTTGAATGTCATGTAATGTGTTGCTATGCTCTCGTTAAAGACATCGGTAACACTTTACAGTAAGGTTAGCTATTGAACATTAATGTATTAGGCTAACTAACATGAGCAATACATTTCTTACAGTATTTATTAATCTTTGTTAATGTTAGTTAATAATAATACAGCTGTTCATTGTGTGTTCATGTTAGTTCACAGTGCATTAACTAATGTTAACTAATACAACCTTTGATATTAATCATGTATTATTACAGGTGAAACTCGAAAAATGAGAATATTGTGAAAAGGTTTTCATAAGCTGTAAGCCATAATCATCACAATTATAACAAATAAAGGCTTGAAATATCTCATGTAATGAGTCTATATAATATATTAGTTTCACCTTTCTAGTCAAGTCATCTTCATTTATATAGCGCTTTTAACAATGGAGATTGTTTCAAAGCAGCTTTACAGAGATAAACATACAATTTACGGTAACAGAGATTGTTTTGGCTTTATAGCGATTTTGAATAATGTTATTTTGGCTAAAGTTGGTTATGATTGATTCACTTCCAGCAAAATTATCATTTGTTATTACATTAGGGGCCACTAAGACGACGGTTGAATTAATGAAATAAATGAACTTTTGCACGATATTCTAATCGAGTTTCACCTGTTGAAATTAATATTAACTAAGATTAATAAATGCTGTAGAAGTATTGTTCATTCTTAATTCATGAAAAGTAAAGTGTTAGCAAGACATTTAAATATCAACGGGACCGACTTGGTTAAATAGTGGTTTAAATATAGATGCTGCTAATTTTCATATATTGTCAATTTCTGCTGTTTAAACTCGTATTAAAGAATAAAGTTTGTAAGCAGGGCTCTTACCGTGAGTGCGCGCGCCGCGTGTCCCCGCGCCGCTCGTTCGTGCATCCCGCATTTAAACGTCACTTATCTCCCGTGCGCGCTCCCGCGACGTCAAGGCCGGTACCGAGAGTGACGTCTGCGCGCTCCGCGGTGACGTATTTCATTCATATCCTCGTAACATGATGTACCATAGTAAACACGATCTCGTGTGTAGGCCTATAAGAGCTGTTATTATAATATAAGGTTAAACTGTGAGTCACATGTAGCGAGTTTCATGAGATTCACTCTACTGAACTCATAACAAGCTTTAAATTATTCATTTCCTGTGTATTAAAATGCTAAAACACTGTATAAAATATAAATATTTTACAGTATATATATATATATATATATATATATATATATATATATATATATATATATATATATATATATATATATATATATATATATATATATATATATATATTTATACACACACATAAACACACAGTATAAAATATGTTTTGATTTTGGAGTGAATATGGTCTATATTGCTGCACTGTACGATGAGCTGAAGATCGAGAGATGAATGAAGCTTTATAAACAAATCAAGGCATTTCTCAGTTTATTGAGTTACAGTTACTGTAAATACTGTATCCAGTGACATGTAAGAATCATAATTCAGTAGTTAGGGGTGTGAGAGTGTGTGGTGTGTGTGTGTGTGTGT